GAGAAAGGGGGTGTGTGGGTGTGTGTGTGTGGAATTGTCAAAACCAGGAAATAGAAGCGGCTTAGAGGTGGGACGCTTTTTCTCCCTCGGTCAGTTACCGTGAAGCTGCCCAGGTGCCAGCAGGTGCCCATCCATGCACTGTGGCGATGGGAACTGCTACAGTGGCAGCTACAGAGAAGAGGTCCGGAAATGAACGTTTGAATGATTCTAGTTCCCTAAAACACTCATACTTTCAAGGCCTTTGCTCACATTTACTTGGAGGAATTAGTTCAAATGGCAAATTTATGAGCTTATGCTGCCCTTGCTCCTATATTTCAGGCAGTGTTCTCTACACAGCAAGCCACAAAAAGGGTCTTCCTTTCATCTCTGCCTGCAGCTATTTTCATAAGCTTTTCCGCAAAGGAGTTCATTTTTCACCCAGACTCGGAGCCAGGACTCATCTACTTTGCCTTCCACACTTTCCTCTTTGTCTGAATGTTTGTCTGTGACATGCCCACATTGCAGACATCTGTGGGAAATAATTGCATAGCCAGCCTGTCCATTAGGCCCGGACCTGAGGTTTGGATGTCTGCTCCTTCCTTGTACATTTCTAGAAATTAATCTGGATCCTTTGGAGCTGGGACTCTAGTAAATCAGGGTTTGTTTCCAGGAAATTCTAAACATTTGGACCTCAAACGGGCCAGGATTAGTTCATGGCCAAATAAATGACTGTGGCTAGTATATGTATGTGCAATGTTTAAAAAGCACTTTTGAAGTTAGGCTTCTTTAAGCCTCACAATTCTCCAGTGAAGTAGACATTAATTCCATCTTATGGAGGAAAAACTGAGATTTGGAGAAATTATGCCTAAAGTCATAGAGCTACTAAGGGATAGAGCCAGACCTCAAATCCAAGGATGTTTAGCTCCAAATCCAGTGTTCCCCCATTTCATTCTGTTTTCTGATTCTGATTGATGTTATTAATTAACTCTTTTCTTGTACCTGGGTTGGATTTTCAAGTAGGCAAGCAGGATCTTTTCCCACCAAAACACGTAGCATTTGAGCTGGAGAACTGACTGCAGGGCCCTGAAACCATACAGATTGTTATCAACAGGGCTGTCCCTATATCCCAACCAATTTGCCATGAATTTTTAAGGAGTATTAAAAGTCACCATTTATGGAGTTCATTCTAGATGCCAGGCCCTGTGTTACCTCATTTAATCCTCATACTGACTCTCTGAGATAGGTATTATTTCTTCCCATTTTGCAGATCAGAAAACTGAGATCGAAAAGCTAAAGAAATGTGGAACTGAGATCCAAGCCTGGCCCTCGACATGAGTCATGGGACTCCTTCACTCTGCCCACCCGCCCTACCACCAGCCTCCCTGGCCCTGCTTTGCCTGTCGAAGATAAAGATCCGGACCCTTTAGCTTCTGTCCCAGGAGGCTGGTACCATCTCCCTCTAAGGGAATTCCCCAGATAGAATAAGATTCCAAAAAGGAATGGAAGAGAGGGGTGCAATTGCTGAACAGACCCCAAATGATGTTGTTTGCTACACAGTTGCTAACAGTTTTGATAGAAGTCCATTTGGCAAGGAGTCCAAGTTGGTCTCTCTGGCACACAATGCCACAAGGAGCTTTTGCTCATTAGGGTCATGACGTGGTTCGTAGGATTATTCCCACATGATGGAGGGTCTATTTGAAATTTTTGTCTTTATCAGATTCTGAAGGATCTGTGTTCTTGCCCTTCCAGAACTCCCCCTATGCCCTACCTCAGTATATCTGTAGGAGCCAAGATACCCATTTGTTCTCTTGAAAGGTTGTTATAACAACATGAAAATGGGTGGTCTTTATCCCAAACTCAGAACAAGATCATCAAGATGACAAGTTTGTAATAAAGTCTTAGGTGATCAGTTCCCAGCCCCCTAAGAAGTCTGAAATGGTTTCTCAGAGGACAGGTCCCAAGCTTTGTCCATTTTCCATCACAGGCCAGTGTGGGAAATCTGCAGCAGACTCAAATTTGATAAGGAAATTCTTTATTTAGTGAGGATACCTTGGAGTGAACTGGTTCCCATGAGCAGGTTTTCTTGTGGTCCAGATCCTATCCAAAACGATTTCTAAGTAAGAAGATCAGCACAGCAACAATTAAGCCAATCATAAATAAATCCCAGTATGGTCCAAGGGTGTTGTCCAATTTTATCCATTTCCATATCATTGTAAACTGTTGGCAAAAAACATTCTATCAAAAAATTTTTTTCGAGGCCTCCCATTTTATTCAAAACTATCATCTGCCTCCATCCCACCACCCAATGTTGCTCATTGGAGTTTTCAGAGATTTGGGACCCGTTTGAGGCAAACTTACATTAAAAAACAGGACATCTCGGAGGAAATGCACAGTTTCCAGTTTTATGAGGGCAAGTAACACAGGCATGTTCGCTTCAGGACTTGTTTGAGCAGCCATATCATACAATCTCCTAGCCAAGTGAATGTCCTGGAATAGAAGAATGGCTCATGCTCATTAGGTACAGATTCTTTACAGGTAAACAAACAGAAGCCATTGTTTGAAATATCATAATTTATCTTTGGTAGGCAAGATGACTCCCCCAAGACATTCATGTTCTATGCCTTGGAACATATGACTATGTTATGTTACATGGCAAAGGGGACTTTACAATTGTAATGAATGTCACAGACCTTAAGATAGGGAGAGTAGCCCAGATTACCCAGGTGGACTCAATATAATCACAGGAGCCCTTAACTACAGTTTTCTCAGGGCTGAAGGCAGAAGAGAAAATTGGAGATATATAGAAGAAGTCTTAGGCACGTGAAGGACTCAACCCACCATGGCTGAAGGGCTGCATGGGAAGAATGAGAAGGAATGCGGACAGCTGACAAGAAATTTGGGGTCCTCAGACCTACAAGTGCAAGATACTGAATTTGGCCAGCAACCTGCATGAGCTGGGAAGTGGATGTTTCCTCAGAGCTCCTAGTAAGGGACACAGCCTTGACTTAAGCCTGTGACCTTGTGCAGAGGATCCAACCAAGCTCATCCAGATTTCTCACCTACAGGAACTATGATATAATAAACGTGAGATAACTGTGAGATGACATTTATTAAATCTGTGGTAATCTGTTACAGCAGCCACAGGAAACTAACAGTCTCCAAAAAGCTTTCTTGGATTCCCCTAGACCCTATATTAGGTTCGATTCCAATTAAAGGAGCAGGAGAACACTAGGCACTAACATACAGTTCCCTAAAACAAATACAGATAGTAACAAGTACTTAAAGTTCTGAGTTTTCTTCGTAGTACTTGTCATACCTAAAGTTACAGAATTTGTCTCTGTCTCCAGGTCCTTGAACCTGAACTGCCTGCTCACTTCTGAATTACCAGAGCTTTATGAAGTGCTGGGTACATAGTAAGATTTTTATAATACTTGTAGAATGAATGAATAAACTGTTTTTTTTGTTGTTGTTGTTCTCAAGCTGCAATTTGATTCCTCCAAAGACATTATATTTTTAGGGACTATTTTTTTTTTAACCATTAACATTTTTTTCCTTTTGTTTTCACCTACTAATGGCTTGTTTTTGTTTGCTTTATTTTTGCTTTGTTTTTCCAAATAGAGTAGTGAAAACGCTAAGTAGAGTTGCCTTTGAAGGTTGAAGTACCCTGGGCCTGTCCCAAAATTGTACTTTGCTTGGATGCCTGTGGATTATTTTCAATAAGAAGGGGAAGAAGAGAGATTTTTCACAAACTGTGGTCATCCAATTTTGTTGTTCCTTTGTTGTTCCTCTTTATCTCTCAGAACTTTAATTCCTAGAGTTCAATCGTTATGAATCCTCAAGGCCTCTGCTAAACTATTTCTTGGGTAGTGTCCTCTCTCAGTTCTGTTCTGCTTGTCATTTCTTAAATTTTCCCAAAGCTTTGTGGTCTGATAAATTGATTTGTTGGAGAGAGGAACATTCTCGCTTAAAATACTTAAACTTCAGTAACATAGTAGACTGTCAAAAAACAAATCTTCCTGGCAACAGAGAAAATAGATGTCATAAAAACTCTAATTTGTGTCTCTAATTCCAACAAATCCAGTACGTGTTTCCTTAAAATGGCTGTGTCACCCTCCACACATGAAAGACATATTGACTTGAATAGTTCAGGGAAAGGCAGCCTTTGTCGGTATCTCAGGCATTCATTCTTATTTGAGGCAGGCAATAATTTTTAATTTATCTTTTGAGGCACAAATATCACAATTCAGTCACTAGATTCATAATGAAAAATAGCGAGAAGTATCATTAAAGTGGGAGCAGCTCACTCCTTGTCCAGTTAGCCTCACAGTTTGTAATGGGTGGAGGTGGGGTGGAATAGGAAAAGTCTTTAAAATTCCCAAAGAAATTCTTGAACACTTGTGGCTCATTAGTGCAACTCATTTAATACAAATTTTATTACTAGCCTCCAGAAAAGACTCCTTGTTCTTTATTTAGTTAATAATAAATTCGAATAATTCAAACAAAAAATTACCTCTCGATAGTGTTTTCATAATGGCCAAGGTTCATTAAGTGTACACCTAACCCACTTACGCTTAACTTTCTTGTAGTATATTTGACTTAATTCTGCTTTAAATTCAGTGGTTTAGGAGATTATGTAAATCGATCCATAGACTCTTCTAAAATAATGCGTTTCTAACTAAAATGTCAGGTGTGAGATTGGCTGAAACATGATGGAGTGAGAGACGTCCCTAGATCTCTCCCCTTGAAACAACAATAAATTGAACATCTAAAACTCAACAACAACAACAAAAAACCCACACTGCACACCAGCACTTCTGAGCATGGGATTTGCACAAAAGAGTTACCACAGGTCAGAACCCTGTGTGTCAGCCAGTGGACTGGGAGAAACAAAGAAGCTACCTCTCGCAGCTGAAGCTTCCTGTAGGAGGAGGAGGAGAGGAGAAGGTGTAGTGACTTTCCTGAGCAGCCCTGCCTGGGAGTGCTGTGAGATCCACGTGGCCAATGGCAGTGCCCAGTCATCAGGGCATAAGGCAGAGAAACCGGGACAGAGGAAAGAGGGGACGGCAGAGAAACAACAGTTGATTTTTACAAGCCACAGTTGCAAATCTGAGATTGTTCTGCAGACCCCATCCCTCAACCCAGAGGGCCCTTGCCCCCCTACCCTCCGAGATGGAATGCCACGGAGCCCCAGGGGAATCTGAGCAAATGCTACCAAAACTGTTGCTAACACTGACAGGGACTGAAACTGAGGGTAGCGAGTGTGATTAAATATCTACAAGAAAATAAAAAGGCATTTTTAAAGCTTTATATAAAGCAGAGATCCAAGAGGCTTAGGTGCCACCTACTGGAAACCAAAAGAAAAATATCTTCTTTGCAACAGGCTAAGGGACATAATAAAATAAATCTTCTTTATGGAAAAAAAGAAAAAAAGCAGAACACACTTCCATTAATGTTAAGATGGAGAAATAGTCCATTACACCATGAACAAGGTGACAAGGCATCTCAAAAAGAAAGAAAAATCTACAGAAAATAAGTTTACAGATATAGAAATATGTGACTTAAATGACAAAGAATTCAGGATGGTACTTCCAAAAAAACTCAATGAGATCCGAAATGAATCATATCAACCATTTCAGGAATTGAAAAAACAACTAGATGAGCAGAAAGAGAGACCAAAGAACGAAAAATAATAAAAGAGAAATAAAAGAGCTAGCTGATACCATCAGGAGAGGAAACATAAGAATAATGAGAATTCTCGAAGGGGAAGAAAAGGAGCAGGGATTACAAAGCATTTTCAGACAAATGGTTGACGAGATTTTCCCCAATCTAAGGAATGAGCTGGAGCTTGGAATTCAAGAAGTCAATAGAACATCCAATTACCTCAACCAAAAAAGGCCTCCACCAAGACACATTGTATTAAAATTATCAAAAATCAATGACAAAGAGAATTCTCAGAGCAGCCAGAGAAAAGAAGACAGTAACCTATAAAGGAAATCCCATTAGATTATTGTTGGAATTCTCAGCACAAACCTGGCAAGCCAGAAAAGAGTGGAATCAAATAGTCAAACTATGAAATGAAAGGAACTACTAGCCAAGAATAATGTATCCAGCTAAGCTCTCCTTTAGATATAAAGGAGACACAAAGACCTTTCCAGACATACAAAAATTGAGAGAATTGTCAACTACGAGTCCTGTACTACAGGAAATACTGAAATGGGTCAGTTCACCTAAATCAAAAGGACAAAAAAAAAAAAAAGCATAATTAGGAGTAATTAGGAGTAAGGTGACTAGCAATGGAGTGCAACCTTTACTAGGAAGAGGGCATTATAAACTTAAATAAAAAGAGATTTGCTATAGCAAGATAGTAATGAACGTTCAGCATACATAGGGACAAACTGAGACAACAGTGACTGAAAAAGGGAGGTTTCAAAGATCCAAATTCATAAAGGATAATGGAGATAAGGCACGCACAGAAGAAAAGGGACGATTGTATATATATAACTATCCTTTACACATACGTAATAGTAACCACATGCCGAAGATTCAGAACTGAAGTATATAACATAAAACAAGAAGGACTAGAGGAGAAACCCACAAAAGCCAACCAAAATAAAGAAAACAGAAACACAAGGACAGGGAAGCAATGGAAACACCGAGCTACCAGAAAGCAAAAGATAAAATGGCTAGAAGAAGACCTCATATTTCAGTAATCACCCTAAATGTAAATGGACTGAACTTACCAATAAAAAAGCACAGAGTTGCAGATTGGATAAAAAAACAAAACCCAACCATATGCTGCCTCCAGGAGACACATCTCAGTTCTAAAGACAAATATAGACTCAAAGTGAAAGGAT